CTCATCTGTATGCTCCGGCTCAAACAGGTATGGCTCTGGGTCTGTGTCCGCTACAAGAAACTCTTCAAAATCGCGTTCAAAGTCGTCCATTGCTGCTACTATAGTCCGGAGATATTGCTAGGCTAAATAAACAGCTGAGCACTGTTTACCGGCTACGCTGTCAGTCAGTGTGCGGGCTGGAGATTGGTGGAGCAGAGAGGGGAGGGGGTCCCCGCTAGGTAGTGTAAACGGGTATGTGTGTATGAAGTGTGTGTGTTATGCCAGAAGAGTCAGAGTTTGGGACGGAATCTTTTACCCCCTGGAGTGTTACCAGAGTTTTTGGAGTGCTCAAATAAACCGGCCTTTTTCCCGAACGCTCCTCTGGTCTCCTGCTCGTGAGGGATTCATTACAATATGGTAACATGGTTTAGATTTCTAAATAAACATTCACCTCGTCGCTAGATAGACCTACTCCTGAAAAACTCGTGTCTGTGCAAGGCTTTTAGTCCCTACGAGGCCACCATCATTTACCCGACGGGAAGGGTGAGTGAGTGAGCCCTGCAATCTAGAATTTGACCACTGATGTCACTGTTTCCAACCCATTTTACACACTGGCCCTTTAATACATTACATTTGTGGTAATTACATTACAACAGCATTACACATAATCCAGCAGGTAATATACTGTACTATGAAACTCAGTGTGACTCACAGTTGACAGTGCCATCTGAATTTGTGTTATAATGGGCGAATGCCTCCCACAGGTCACCATCATCACTGTGCATTTGTGCACACACTGTGACAGGACTGTGTGGGGGCAGGAAACGTCCTTTAATGCTGATCGGTTCATCTACGAGGGCACGAGCAGGAGCAGCCGTCAATAGAGGGGCTGCTTTAAAGCTGCTCTTCCACCGAACTCCACCTAGAAGAAAAACTTGTGAACTTTAAAGTATTACAAAATAATTAAGAATTAGATTTTATGTCAAGTATCAGGGCTGATAAAGATCCAACAGACCTTGATGTAGAGAAACTTAAACATTTTTTATGCATTTGAAGGATGATTTTGTCCACAGCAACCTACATACTTCCCCACGTACACATCCAGCGGGAGAAAATTTGATTTCATTGTTTACCTTAAGGTTATAGGGCTCCATGGTTATGACTGAAATGATAATCACAATTTCTTTTACATTAGCCATGTTATTCTTCCTTGGTCTTCATACATTCATTGTCCTGCAGTTCACTGTTTTTCAGGTGGTTGAACAGGTTAGGTGTGTTGCCTTGTGGTACAGACACAAGTCTCATGCACGCCTTACATATTTGTTCTTGCTCAACATTTCTCAACCTAAACCCAAAACACTCCCAAACAATGGCTGGTGATTCATTTTGAGGGAGTTCTTCGCCTTCCACTCCAGACATTTGGTTTTCGGTTTGCCCGTCTGCTCTTAGTTGTATATTACTCCTCCACTCTGGACTGGACTCCAGCTGCAACATTCAGGAATGTTCTTTACAGGCTGCTGCTGCAGAGTGTGCATGCAGTGGCATGACATCTGTCATGGCTGTTTGTTGAGGGAGTGCTTGATTTGATATGGAGCAGGGGGTTTTATGGACGGAGCACACGTGTTAAATGTCAATATCACAGTCAGTCATATTAATTTAATTATAGGAGGCCAGATTCGTGAACGATATTATTATTCCACTGATTGTGCAGCATCAACACGTTGACAGGAGGAGCTGGGAATCATACAGTTAATAGCCAATCATGACCTGACCTGAGTCACCCTCCTTTACTACTGAACTGTATATTTCTGCACCAAAATGTACATAATTATAGTCGGTGAGAAGACAGTTTTTAGAGCAGTAGTTCATGACACAATAGCAAGAGTGTTTTTTAATGCTATTTCTTGAGATATGTGCAATTGTCTTTCTTTTTTTTAAATCCCTTCTTCCACAGATATCTCTCGACAGGTTTTTGAGCTGCTAACTTAGAATCTTTGAAAGCTCTTCAGCCTGAATATTTATTGCTAGAATATTTTTTGCATGATTTCTACAAAATGTTTTGTGATTATTTATACTTGTAACAGCAGTGGCTATAGGGAAAACTAAATTATAAGATAATCACAAATATCACACTCAGACCTTCATATAAAGGCAGCAGTTGTAGACCTGCAGTATTATTGTAATACATTTACTCAGTCAAAGTAAATTTCATTGTTGAACTCACACAAAAGCTCTCCAAAGACCCATAAAAAGATAATAAAGAATATTCTTACCCACAGCATGCCACAAACATGCCAGGCTCCTGTGTACACCGATGCATGGTATCATCTTCAATTCTATGAGTCGCTGTGTTGCTGTCAAACTTATAGGAGCTCTGATCCACAATGGTGTATCTGCCATTAAACCTGGATGACTTGTTGAACTGGCTGTGACAATTTGTCAGCCTTGGAAATTAAACACAGGACATTGCTCTGCATAACCGCCAATTATCTGTTTGAAAGCAGATGTAAGACATTGCTTTATGATGGGCTAAGTCCTGAATAATGTGGATTTTTCCAGTTTCCTGTGACTGTGTCAAAGTGTCCTTTACTTATGTAAAAAGTAGTAACACTGCAATATAAACAGATTCTATTACAATTAAGTCCTGCATTCAAAACTGTACTTAAGTTACAGTTCACAAGTATTAGCAAAACACAATTAAAGTATAAGTAAAAGTGCTTGTAAGTTTCATGGTGTGTTAGTCTCTATTTACATTAATTTTACTGACAGCATTTAAATGTAGCTGGTTGAGGTGAAGCTCATTACCACTGTGGGTGTGTCTGCAGCTATAGGCCACATGTCTTGCATCATTCCTCATACTTACTGACTGACTTGTCAGCAGAGAAAGTTCCTACTTAAGATAGATCATTAGATCAATAGATAGATCGATAGATAGAGTAATAAACCTTGATTAGGTGTCCAATATAGCCTTGTTGGAAATTAAATAGCAAAAATGTAGGACAGGACTTATTAACACAGATAAACCTTAGTTACAATGAATTCATACAGCTGCCAATCAGGTATAACCAGGGAAAGTTTCAGTCTTCTCTCCCTTCTCAGATGCCGCCCTTGTAATGACTGTATGGGCATCTAGCCAGTATTTATCACACTGTCAGTGCCTCCCAAGGCCACCCCATCCCCTAAGGGCACCACACACAATAAAATGCACTGCAGATACTCATCACACTACACCACCACACTACCAGTACTTATAGGACACACACAGATGGCATCCAGTATAGACAATCTCCCTAAACACTCCCACTCCCTGGCAACACTGTGGCTGAGCTGTTCTAATGAAATCTGCAAAACTAACAATACAATAACTGACACAGACACAAACAAAATGATTTAAAAAGTTGTTTATACGGCTTAGCTTTCCCAGGTTCTGAGACCTCCCATGGGGTCTGACCTTTAGTGCTGGTCTGGCCTTGTCAAGATTAGAGATGGGGGAACCGGGGAAGCATGCTGGTCCAGCGCTGTGAAGTCCCCCTATGCTGCAGGAGAGCCTCTACACAAACTGGGAAACGGATGTCACACTCCCTAGTGCCTCATCCGCACTAGTTCCCTGCCTTAACGAACCTCGCCTTACAGCCCAGCTACCTGTCTTTCCGGCAGCAGCCCTGACTGGCATGTGAACGGCACCCACCTCCCACCAAAGGGTGCACTGTTTTGGCTTGGCTATTCGACGACCTTGCACCAAACGCCACTTCCCAGAACCACCCCATCCGCACTCAATTCACTCCCTCGCAACCCTTGTAGTCCGTCCCCCCAGTCCTCACCAAGCACAGGTGCAGCCACTCCCTACAGTGTGTCCACAGTTCCCCTCCCAGGTGACACCATTACACTCCCCCCACCCTTAAAGGAAATGGCCACTTTATAATGAAAATACAGACAGAGCTTACTCACCCTCATGCTGACAAGAAGTCCAGTGTAGTTTTTTAATCCACAAAACTCGTTCGGGGTATTGGAGGATAACAGCCAGCCGGATTTTTCCATACACTTGAAGTGCATGGAACCCACATTTTAAAAATGTAATAAAACGCCGCTAATGCATTTCAAAAACGTCAGAATGGCTCATTTGTCGCAATCCAAGTGCCCTGAAGCCGCGGCATGCAAAATTGACTTGAAAAGACGTAATTTACATGGCAACTCGCGCAAGACTAGCTGATGGCTAGTGGTGGTGCTAGTTCTCGAGTCTCATGCGAGTTGCCATGTAAACACAGCACTCATGCAGGGCAGGCTAACTGACCACGGTGAGAAATTATGCTATAAAAGTGGAGTAAATTATGTCTTTTCAAGTCAATTGTGCATTCTATACACCACAGTTAGGTTACCTAACCAACATCGATGACAATGGCTTGTCAACGTATGACATCCACCTCTAACTTATATGCCCTTAAATACACATAACATTATGCCTTTATTAAATGTAATCTGATGAGTTACATAAAAATTCAGCCCATGTACTGTTATCATGAATGAGGAGATTAGCTACCTTTACCAAGTTATTGATCTGGGAAGTTTGAATCTGTGAATATTATTCCAACATTGACAAATTGCTTTAGACAGGCAGTTGCTGTCCGCTCTTTCTGGTACTGCACACCAGTATTTAATGTTTCAGTTGTAGAGTACCAGACTGTACCAGCCCTCTTTCACCCCTGGTTATAGGTTAGTATGGCAAAGAAATACACCAAAGATCACAGGTACTCAAACACAACAGTGAACACAGTGAGTGCTGTTTGCGTGTTTATTTAAAGTTTATTAGCACTGAATGTGTTGCAGGTTGCAGTGAATTTTGACAGTGCACGTCCTTGGATCCCCAGCAAGACATCTGCCAAATGTGAAGTAGATCGGATGAATGATTCTTGAGATATGCGAAGGACATACAGAAAGACAGACGGACAGACAGAGATTCCTGGCTTGATAATTAGATGTTAATGGAGCAAGGCCAGCTAATCGCTAACATGCTTGGTTAAAAAAAAGGAGAACTAATGCTTTAAGATGGCAGAGGTATGATCACATTATCCCTCTTGAAGTGTAACAGGAGATGTGTTCTTTGTTTTATTTCCTAATCGCTCAAGAAAATTGGATTTGTGTACCGTTAGCTAACTGTTACCACTGGAAAATACTTCAATAATTCATGCAAGGGGCCAGGAATAAGGTGGATAGGCCAAACCCAAAGTTTCTCTTTCATTCACTGACTGTTCACTTGCCCTGCTGTATAATAACCCCAATTTAGCCCTTAAATGCTGTGATGGCCGTGTCCACAGCCAAACAAAAGGTGGAATGATTCACATACTCACCCACTCTATTACCACATGTTCAGCTACCTTTCATTTGCAGTCACATATATTACATACAACAACCAGTCTGTTTAATTAAAAATGTATTTATTAGCACTTTGACAACAGACAAAGTGTGCACCTTTAGTTTACATTTTGTTTTTTCATTTTGTGAATTATAAATTCCTTTGTCTTGAACCTGTACCTGTAGCTGTTTCCACTTCCTGGTTAGAGTCAAGGCTATTCAAAAGGTGGGACAAACTTTCTAACCCCATGGGAGATATGGGGTATGACACATGCACACTGTACCTGGAGCTGCAGTGTTGGAGGATTACAGCAGACAGCATTAGAAATTAATAGATGGTGTCTGCTCAGGTGCTCTTTTAGGTACACTATTTTTAGCCTCCTTGGGTGCGCTTGGCCTGACAGAACTTATTGGATATGCTCGAATGGATGGCAGCCGATATGCAGTGGAAGGTTTTCATATGGAAGGCATCTGTGTTTGGTCTTTAATTGAAGCTCTTTTTAGCAAATGCAGAATTGTAATTCTCACCCATATCTTTTTTGATATATTTCAGACTGCGGAAGCCATAGTGAGATGAATCAATCATCCCCATGTTCTCTGATAGTGCACCAGCTATTGAGCATTTAGGAAAGTGAAGACAGGATTTTACTGCGCATGTGTTGTACCCCAGTAATATGAGGCAATATGGTGCTGTGACTTCTCCTCTTTATAGTCTGCTTGGTTGGAGTCTGGCAACAGATGGGGCTAAGGGCAGAGCCTGGCTTTATGCAGAGGGCCATCCCTTGGACTAAACCAAGAGCTCTGACGTCATGGGGGGGACTAGGATAAACCCAACTTTTTTGAACTTTAAATATGTGTTCTTTGTGCTTTGTTTGCTTGGTCCACGATAGATGCGCAATCAGTATCTTTTCACCATATAAATGTGACTTGACCACCAAACACAAGAAGTGAGCTGTTTAATTAAGGATCATCTAAAATAGGCCAGTCTCTTTCGTTTGAGTTGGTTACATCGACCCAGGCTATTTTATTCAGATCGGGCTATTATTTTGATTACTAGTGGGATATAAGGATCCATGTAAACACACCGAGTGACTACTATGGCCGAGGCAGTCTTACTGGAATGAGATGGTTGTTGTTGAGTAAGTAGGCAGTAAGACGATCAGCGAAAGCTTTTGTGAAGTAATTTCGAAATGAAAGGAAGATTGGAAACAGTTCTATAACTGTTTAGAATTTAGGTTTTGCAGCAGCAATTGAATAATGGCAGTTTTAAAAGGGGAGGGCACAGAGCCCATGGAAAGTGACTTGTTGATAATTTCAAGAATGTGACTAATTAATCCAGGAAGCAGTTCCTTGAAAAGATTAGAAGATATAGGGAGGGTATAATATGCAGTTTGTAGGTTTTGAAGCAGTTACCAAATTATAAAGTCCTCAAGTGAGATTATTTCAAATTTCGAAAGGGTCCAGATGGTCTGAGTCTCAGTGTCTGCATCGATCAAAGTACTGGAGTGTATATAGCTGTCATTCTGAGAGGAGTTTTGACCAGTAATTTTATCTCTGAGCCAATCGTATTGTGAGGAATTTCAGAAAATCAGCAGCATTACATGGCAGGCTATTCGCAGGGGTATTCTGTGTGAGATTAACAACAGCATCGAACAGAACCCCTGGATTGTTTTTATTGATGTTAAAAAGGTGAGAAAAACATGCTGTCATAGCAGCTGAGAGTGCTCCCTTAACCTTCTGACCCACAAGGCGAAAAGTCTACTGTTAAGTTATACCCCAGCTACATGCCCACTGAGGTGTCCATTGAAAACCATGGCACTGACTTCCTTCAAGTGCATTTTCTGGTTGTAAGTGGAGCGACAGAGTCAAGTTTGTGAGAAAGGCACCATTCAGATTGTCTCTGCGGTTTTTACTGATTAGTTCTTGGAAGTCCTTTTCATCTAAAAAACTATTCTATTTTCATCCTCAGTTCTCTGAATGTAAAACCCAGATACATGAGGCATTTCACAGTTGCATATATGATGAGATATGTCAAGATTCATCATCTCAGA